AGAACATAGACTAATAACATGCAAAAAGTAGACAATTTCCCCTAGCTCTCAAAATTGTTCTGGCTTTCTAACTATGCGACAGGAGCCACTACAAATTCATCCAAGCTAGTCGTTAACATTCCCACAGAAATAAACAGTATAAGTGAAATTGACAACTATCTGGCTTTCTATTGGTTATAGGTAATATATAATTTAACTTGAGAGAGAACTATTAACAAATCCTGAAAGAGAGGATGTGATAGGTGGGTGCAGCAGGAGGAGTCTGATTTTCTATTTGATAGTTCTGTAACCAAATACATTTGAAGGCTATAACAAATACGATTTGTCTGAGGGATGACGATTTTATAGTGAGTAATTAAGGTTTCATTTCATCATTACTGGGAGGTGGAGGATAAAATAGAGAAGATACCTAGAAAAAATGTGTCATGTGTGTATTTTTAAATATTGCCTTATAGGATTAAAAACTTAAAACTTATATAATATTAAAATATTGATTATTAGCTAATATCTTATGCTATACTAATTGGCATAACATAAAAAAGTAGTTTAATAAACATTCTGAATGTAAGAGACAAAAACCTTGTGACATGCGCAGTAAAGGATACGCGTGAGGATAGAAATAAACAATCTCCAGCTTCCCGAGCCTCTCTCTATCCCCACCACGTGTCTAAGTGATGGGGCTAGGTTCAATGTCGTGTAGTCAATATATTTTTGCCATTTTTTACTGCTTTTCGTAATTATCCTTAGATAGTAGTATGGAATCGAAACGTAAAACATCTCCAAGTGTTAGTGAGCCAAATAAAAGCCGCAAAGTTATGACATTATCTGAGAAAATTCAAATCATTGATAAGTTACAATGCGGGATGAGTGTAGCATCTATAGGCCGAGAATATGGCGTGAATTAGTCTTCCATACATACGATTAGGAGGAGTGAAGAGAAAATCCGTGCAAGTGTTAAAACTTCTGCCCTATAAGTGCTAAGGTTTCACAAGTGTCTAGGAAGAATCCTTTCACGGAAAATATGGATAAATTATTGAATGTGTGGATCAGTGAACAAAAAAGGCTCTGTTGTTAATAACGTAGCTAAACGTGAGAAAGCGCGTAGTTTGCATGAATACCTAGTCTCCAGTGATGATGGAAGTGGTGCAGATGACAATGATTTTCAGGCAAGTAAAGGCTGGTTTGCCATATTTAGGCAACTTTCAACCTGCATAACGAAAAGCTGCAAGGTGAAGCTTGGTCAGGCGATAGTGATGCAGCTGCACAGTTCATGTTGTGGTTTCTTGAATTAATTAAGGAAAAAGGATATGCCTCTCAACAGGTGTTTAATTAAAATGCAGATGAGACAGAGCTCTTTTATAAGAAGATTGGAAACAGAGCATACATCACCAAAGAGCAGAAGGTAGCACCTGGATATAAGGCCTTTAAGGATAGGCTCACTTTGCTTTTTTGCGGGAACGCATCGGGTGACGTTAAATGCAAGTCTATGTTAGTGTGTTGCTCCACAAACCCACGCACATTAAAAGGCAAGCATAAGCGACATTTGCCTGTTGTTCAAAAAAAAAGAAAAGGATTGGGTAACTAGGATGCTATTCAACGACTGGTTTCAAAATCATTTTGTGTATGAGGTTAAAACGATCTACAGCGCTCATATGTTTGCGTGTTGGGCGAACTGCGCATAATCGAATTTTCCATATTTGGCAGGCAATTATCAGTGCACATGTATGTGATGCCACTAAAACTGCACTGTGGTATGAACATTCACGATAGTCATGTTTTTGTTTGCTATCTTGAGTCGAGAACTCACACTGTCATGTTGACTGTGCATTACATTATATGTGTCTGCGCTCCAATCAATGCAGTTATAGAAACTGTGTCCACTAGCCTGGAAACTGGTTGCTGTTGTTGCGTATCTGCTTGTTTGTTAATTTCCCGTAGAAATTCTTTCCGAGAAACTTCAGCGATACAAGTCCTTTCTTAATTAAAACTAACTTATTC